GGGATGAGCTTATATCTTTGAAAATGTCAATAGTTCACACGATACAATGTCATTTCTTAATTATGTATCTAGAGATAGAGCATGTGTACTTTCTTATATATTGACGTTTTTAAAGATATAAGCTCATCCCGATGTTAAACTCATCGAGAGCTTTCATTTGAGTACCCACATGCATTTTGATATATTTTTCATACATACATATATATAATATATATAAATATATGAAAAATTGATGTGGGTACTCAAATGAAAGGTATTGATGAGTGTAACATCAGGATGAGCTTATATCTTTAAAAATGTCAATATTTCACAAGATATAAGGTCATTTTCTTTATTTTGCCTGTCAAAAAAATTCCCGAAAATTACCTTTATTTACCGTCACAATGGTGTTCCCCCCTTAAAGTCTTTGTAAGTTAAAATTTTAGATTCAATTTTTCAGCTAAAATTACAAACTCTGCAAATGAAAATTGATATTAATGGAATGCGCTTTTAAGTTTAGAACCAGCGCAAACTAACGATATTACCGAGTTTGCTTAAAAGTTATGATACGACTTACATGAGCACACTTCTAATACGTCTTGATATCAATATATACAGGTGTGTTCACCCTTTATGGCATCACCAGCTGGGGTCAACATTGCGGGAAAGCAAACAAGCCCGGCGTTTACGTACGTATTGCCCATTACCGAGATTGGATCGATAAAAAAATACGAGACTCGTTATCTGGCAGATAGTCCGGTAAACTTCTGAGGTCAATCTTTTTTTATATCTTAAAACTTACATCAAGACGAATACACCCAAGATTCAATCTATATAATTGATAGCTAATAAATCTAAATATATATATAGGAAAATAAATAATTATATTACACAATTTATTTTTAAGTTTCTATTTAAGTTTTATTTCCATTCTCACATTTTTCATTTAGTTTTTTTTTTTTCTACAATTATATTTAGTTTAGTTGTTTGTTTTTTATTATTAATTTACCTTATTTCTTATACATTTATAATATTATCATAATAATATGTAACGAAAAATTATATTTATGTACAAGTCCCAACGTATTCGATCGTTAATCGGCAGAAGTAAAAACATTATTGTAAATTGACATTATTTACACGAAGGACGGGTTTAAAACGTAAAAATTTCTTCATAATAATAATAATAATAATAATAATAATTAGAATTAGAATTATCATCATTAATATTATAATTAGTATTTATGTTTTACATACAGTCATATATATTTTAGTGCATTAATGTGTAGTGTAAATATGTTTATTAAATTTTTCATTAAAATCCTTGTAAGTAATTTAAATAAAAATTTTTTTTTTCGTAGAAAAAAAAAAGTAATGATCGATACGTTTGGCAAAATATATATAAATATATATAAACGGATATATTTATATATTTATATTTATTTTTATTTTATGATTGGTTGTATTACTCGAGTGTCTAAAATCAAGACATAAAATATCTGTATGTTTTATATAATAATATATATACATATCGTATATAACGTATATGTATATATATACATAAAAATGTAAATGTATATAGAATCCATTTATCAGTAACGGTATGAGGTTTTATTTTTTTATTCAACGTTTTAGTCCATATAACTCTCAGCAATATCATTTTCACGATGAAATATAAATAACAACATCCATAATGTATATAATAATGTTTATTTGTACGTGCGAACGAACAATTTATATTTTTTAAATTTATTTTAATATCCTTTAATATACTTTGTATTTACTTTTTAAATAGAGTGTCACTCACGTGGAATGTGGGGATCAAAAATATACCGTTTAATTAAAAATTAAATCCCTATAACTTATATAACGTTTAATCAATTACAATTATAATTATAGTATAATAATAATTTATAATTATTTTATTTTAGTCTATAAATAATATTTATTACAAATAAAAATACTTGGATGTATTTTTTAAAATTAAAAAAAATTATTTCGCCTGTTTACTGCTCAAATACATGTATTATATATCAATGACATAACTAATAACTAGTGACTAGAAAACAAACAGCTATTTCAGATGTTCACCGACCTCATGAGACATTCAGACTCTCGTGCAATTTATTTTATTTATTTACGATATTCACTTTATTTTAAGTGTCTATTTTTATACTTATTTCGTGTCGAGTTCATACGTCAATACATGTGTATATATTCATATTTATATTATTTATGTTTATGTATACTCTAACAGACTCATTCATTCGTTTACGTCCTAATTTTTTATTTTTCGGCTTAATTATCGCGTTTATAATGTATTAATATTAATATTATTTTTTTTTTACTATTTACAGAATCGCTAATTGCGTCTCATTATAATTCAGTACTATAAGACATGTATTTTTTTTTTTCAATATTAATATTATTATTTTTACTTGTATTAAGTATGATAAAAAGAGATTGACGTAATTGCTTACTTATTTCTTAGCGGTCCGTTGATATATAAAGAACGGATTTGGCCGACTTTTAATTTATTTATTCAGATTAGATATTCAATAATAAATGTATAATAAAAAAATAATAAAAATGCACGTTTAAAAGCTTGTCAATAAAAAAATAAATAAATTTTACTCTAATAAATATAACTTAAAATAATATAAAGGACGAAAGAATATTATAAATATTAAATTTAGGTTACATTGATCCGGTAGCGCCATTGATACGCACAATGGGAATTTATCGATGTCTACATTGAACGATATATATATATTAATATTATTATTATTATTTTATAAATGGTCTCTTGTTATTGATAATTGAAATTGAATTTTCGATAACGTGCATATGATTAGTAGGACTCGATAAATTTTAAATGAAAAATATACTTCGGGCAATGTGCCAGATACATATTTTGATATTTAAATTCACATTTAATTTAATAAGACTAAAAAATATTATTTTCAAGTTAATTATTCGTTTCATTTTATTTTATTTTTTACTTTCTTCTTTTTAGTGTAGTGAATAGTGACATCTGCGATTTTTAAATATCGATTACTTATTTTAATTACTTATTCATGTTTTTCTTTTTTTTTGTAATCTTCAAAATACGATTGACTGGTGTTATTTGGTACTGATTTAGACATTTTAATCTCGTTGTTGTGTTTTTAATCACGGTTTTAATCGCACGTATTTTTTAATCCCAAGGAGAATACTCTTGGTCCCTATTTTCAATAAAAAATTCTTTTTATTTCTGTTTCCGTTTTAGTATTATTATTACTATTAATCTTTTCTTGTTTGTTTTATTATTTCAACGTGGATTAATTAATCTGCTGGTAATTTTATACTTATACTTTTACTTGAATTTCAATAGTAATTATAATAATCAATGTAATTGAAACTATAATACTAATTTAATACTTAGAGAGAGTTTTTTTTTATCACTATTAAGTTAAATATAAATATAAATAATAAAAATGAATTTTTATATTATAAAAAACTCAGTATAATTTATAAAGTAGAGTTTTTTTTCATTAAAATTACTTTTATCGCTATTAATATATATTAATATATCATAGGAGCGTATATCAAAAATTTTTTATGTACAGTAATATTAATCAACTTGATAGTATCTCAAAATTATTAAAAATCTCAAGAAAGTAATAATTTATTTGTATTAATTTATTTTCCTTTAACGAAAGCTCTCTCGAAATATTAATAAAATGGGTGAGTTAAAAGCAATGAAAAAAAAGTTAAATAAATATACTTTGAGATACTTCCAAGCAGATAAATGCATACTTATTAAATCCTTAATGCATATTAAAATTGATACTGCTTTAAAATAGTACGACGTGTTTGTAGTTTTATAATCAGGCTTCAAATTTGGCTCACTCGACTTTGATCAGCCTGGTGTATTTAAATCTTGATATATTCATGAATATTATTTTGTCTTTATATATCATTATTATTATTATTAATATTAATATTACTTTTATCATTATTAATTTATATGTATCTACTTCAGTATCTTTCCCATTCGGCGCTAGCTCTTTTTCACTGAGCGTTCAAATCGGACCTGGAAAAAACAACAAGTAATATTTATAATTCAAATTCAATCAATTAATCATTTAAGAAAGGTAAAAAGTTTATCTTTGTAAATTATTTTTATCTTCATTGTTTTAGTTTTTTTAACTTACTTTAAAGCTTTATAACGTTCCTTCTCTGGATTGTTGTCAGGTGGCTCGCACTCAAAGGAAGCCAAGGCAAGAGCTAAAAAAATTCAATCGATATACAATTAAAATTTTCTTTTACATTTTATACATTCTATTAATATCGCTCGGTATTTCTTTAACAACCAGAAGATGAAACAAAGAAAATTTATTTCAATCTTGTCAGTTTTAATTAATTAAATATTATTTTAAATAACTGACAGTTTCATTAGATTTTTCATTTCTCCTGTCTACCGAATGTTAAAATTGTCTGACAAATTGAAGAGCTTGAGAGGAAAAAAATATGTTCCTACATTTGTATTAATTATTATAATTATATAATTATAATTTTAATTAAAAGAATAATTATTATAGCATTCAGTATCCGTCTTAACAGATATCTGTCAATTTTTTTTTTATTTGTATAACAATTAAATTACTAGCAGGCTTGCAGAAGTCACTTTGTGACTGCCGTGATTTATAAACTATCAATAAATAAATTTTGCTTTATTAAACAATGACTTTTGTTAAATTGCACTGTACTTTCTTAACTATTAACATTTTCAAAGATATAAGCTCATCCCGATGTTACACTCATCAAGAGCTTTCATTTGAGTACCCACATGCATTTTTGATATATTTTTCATATATACATATATATAAATAAATATATGAAAAATTGATGTGGGTACTCAAATAAAAGGTCTTGATGAGTGTAATGTCGGGATGAGCTTATATCTTTAAAAATGTCAATAGTTCTCGAGATACAAAGTCATTTCTTAATTATGGATTTAGAGATAGTGAATTTCCAAATGCAGCCTAAATACTTATCATGATAAATTGACTATTATTGGTGAAAATGATGTGAAACTTTGAAAATGCACAAATTCAAGTCAAGACCTTTGCAATGACACTAAATTTCACTAAAAAAACAAGATTTTATCATATGACTATCCTCAACACAAAATTTTTCTTATTCTCTTAATAATATACATTATAAAATAATTTTAATAAAAAATTTCCTCAGCTAGAAGTTTAAAATAATTACAAGTGCAATTTTTTTTTTTTTTTATTAATTATTAATAAATTCAATTATTTTAATTTTAAGAAAAACTAATCAAAATATTATCTATCACTAATTTCTTGTTTTTAAATAAAATAAATAATAAAAAATAGAAGTAAAATTTACCATTTTCAGTTAGTACTGGACTTGCTTGTAGAAAAGCAATGACCCGTGAATTCTTCTCAAAAGGACAAGCCACCTGCTTCCATGCTATGAACTCAGTCACCTGTTTGGCAAGTTGCCAAAACTTTTCAAAGTTGATGTGACCATTTGGAAGTCTGTAAAGTACACGCATTGATAACTTCAAAGTCACTAACATAAACAACTATCGAAACAAAATTTTCTTATAAATGTAAGTTAAAATCTAAAATAAAATAAATAAATAAATAAATAAATAACGTAAACAGACGTGGAAAAAAATAAACAAGTAAATCCAACACATAACAAAGAATCTTCAATAAAAATGGCAACTAAATAAATGAGATAAAACGAGGAGCAGATGGAACAGATAGTTACAGTTTAGATTGCTTCAATAGTTGGAAAAGTTGTACAATTTGTCGAGTAAGGACAGCTAAGAATTCTGCAACAATTTTCTTCCTAACAACTTTCTTATTTACAGTTATATATATATATATTATATAAAATACAATATACGTTATACAAAAATATATATAAATACTATAAACTTTTTACATGTTTAGTATCGCTTCGCAAAGTTATATCTCATGTACTTGTTACTTGTTACATTAAATATAAACTTTTTTGTTGCTATTTCAGAGTCAACCAACCGAGATAAGAGTAACGAAGGGTGAACCTAGTGCAAATTACGCGGCAAAGTTTTCGTCTTTGGCAAAGTGGGCTTCACCTTCTATTATATTCCATTCTGGCGGTACTTGTTAAAGTTACTAAATTTCCATGAACCTGTGTGTTAATTTTGATTGTGAATTGAATATCAATATTTACTATTCACTATTCACTACTGAAGGTACTGTTGTGCAAATTGTAATTTAATATAAATCATAGTAAATTATATAGTCACTACCGTAACTCTGAAGATCGTGCATATTGCTCTTTTTTTTTCCTCTGTCAAAATAATTTCAATGGAAAATGTAGATTTAACTTGTTGCTATTATAAGCTAGTGGGAAAACTTTAGCTATTACGAGTTTAATAAGTTAATCTAGATACTGTTGCCGCGAACCGCGAGGAAATTAGTCTTCAATGTTGAAGATAAGCTGAGATGAAATATAAAAGCAAAACAAGCTACATTATGACTAAAGATGAAGACGAACAAGATAAGAGATTAAGCAATAGAGAAAGAGGAGAGACGCAACGATGCATGATTATCAAAATTATAAGCTTTGATGTTAAAACATAAAGTACCTCGACATTAGTACTTTGTTCATTTTTTAAAAAGTAACTTTTGCAATTTAGACTAATTGATTTTTTGATTGCAGAATTTCTCGCTGTTCAGAGTTTATTAACAAACATTAAAAAGTGGAACTACGTACTTGTTACTGCATCCCTCGTTGAGGAAGTAGAGATCTTTTACAAGCAAACTGAAGAAAGGAACCACAATTCGCTGTCTTTCATCGGTAGCGCCGACGCTTCGCCACATTGCTGCTTTGAGAGTGCTGCGGTAGCTGCTGAAGTTGCTGCTCGGGTCCATTTGATGCTCCAGAATAGAGAACTTTGCTGACTGGACTTTTGACCACTGTTTTGACAAACAAGCAAATGTTTGGATACTTTTTTACGATTTTTTAAAATGTAAAGTAAATATATGTTGTGTGTCGAGTTGCGCGATCAAATCTGCCGAGTTGAGTGTAAAAAACTTTTGCTAGTGTTAGAGGGAAAATATTTTTTTAGAGAAGTGTCGTGTAAATATTTGTCTATTTCTGAAAATTTAGTATTTATGTCACGCTTTTTTTTTTTTTATTAGTAAAAAAATAAACAGCTATAAAATTGAATCAATTAAAGTTTATGGTAGTTGATAAATAAATTTAAAATTAATAAGTTATTTTCGTATAATTATAATTTTGTGTAAAATTTGTGGTCTGTAATAATATATTCCATTAAAATGGGACGATTTATTATGAGCAATTTAATTAAATTATTAATAAACAGTTTATTTACTAATTTATGCAATAAAGTAAAAATTAATTAATGAGACAAATATCCTGAAAATGAATAATTATAAACTAGCAACCTTGCAGTCACTATATTACTGCCGAAACTTGTGAATTATAAATAAATAAAATTTTGCTTTTCTAAATAATGACTTTTGTTAAATTGTACTGTACTTTTTTAACTATTGACGTTGTTAAAGATATAAGCTCATCCTGATGTTGCACTCATCAAGAGCTTTCATTTGAGTACCCACATGCATTTTCATATATTTTTCATATATACAGATATGTAATATATATATAAATATATGAAAAATTGATGTGGGTACTCAAATGAAAGGTCTTGATGAGTGTAACATCGGGATGAGCTTATATCTTCATAAATGTCAGTAGTAGACAAGATATAAGGTAATTTCTTAATTATTGATATTTTTTAAGATATAAGCTCATTCCGATGTTACACTTATCAAGAGCTTTCATTTGAGTACCCACATCAATTTTCATATATTTTTCATATATACATATATATAATATATATTTTAAAGATATAAGCTCATCCCGTTGTTACACTCATCAAGAGCTTTCATTTAAGTACCCACATGCATTTTTGATATATTTTTGATATATACATATATATAATATATATAAATATATAAAAAATTGATGTGGGTACTTAAATGAAAGGTCTTAATGAGTGTAACATCGGGATGAGCTTATATCTTTAAAAATGTCAATAGTTCACAAGACACAAGGTCATTTCTTAATTATGTATATCGAGATGGAGCATTTTTTATAAATACACCGGCCACAAAATTTTGTTTATTCTCTTAATGATATATATAATAAATAATAAATAATAGACAAATTACAATATTAAAAGGATGGATAGTTGTAAAAATATTAAATTTATGTTGGGAATAAAAGTAACGAAGCAACATGATTGAATTAGTAAAGCGAAACTACCACAGAGTGTTTTAATTTATAATATGTATAAGTAGTGGAATGAAAAGTTTGTACAGGATGAAATTTCATGGCTAGTGGATATGATGTATGAGGTTGACGTGGGGCAAATAATTTAGCAGGCAACCAGTAACTGGGAACCGGGTGTGAGTACGATACCAGACTCGGGAGAGAGTTGAGTGGAGAATAGATATGAGAGCCTGCGTGAGCGAGAGTTGACTACGACATAGACACAGACAGTAATTGAATTAACTTCGAGGACGAAACTGTCGCGAAACTCGCACGCGGGTGCGATCCCGGATTAATTCCGACTGTCTCCCACCATCAGGAGCATCACCATCATATAATACTCCACGGGATAGTCTCGAGGGATTTAATTCACCCATTACCATGTGGATGCCGCTACACCCTCGGACTCTGGACCACTCACACGAGGGTTTATCTCACGAGAAATTAGCATCGTTAAACGTCGAACGATCAGTGTTGTGCATCACTTATAATTGTATGTCTATGTACTGCCTGTTGGAATTCTACTATGTTTTCGAGTCAACTTTCCAAACCTGTAACATGCCTGTCAAATTATACTTTTATTCAATTTGTCATGCATATCAGACTTGAAATATTTATCAATTTTACCATAGTGTGACTTTATTGTTTATCGCTAATTGCTTCCATTAAATATTCAATAAATTTAATTTATATTGTTTGTACTTGGTAATTTCAATATTAATATTTGATTTTTTTAAATAATTTATTTAAATAATTCTGTTGCTTATAACTGACATGAAAGTAAATTTATATTCTTCCAGATTCAATAAAACATTTTATTTATTTAAATTACAAATACTAGCAACCTTGCAGTCACTACATGACTGCCGTGACTTGTCAACTATAAATAAATAAAATTTTGCTTTATTGAATAATGAATTTTGTTAAATTGCACTGTACTTTCTTAAATATTGACGTTTTTAACGATATAAGCTCATCCTGATGTCACACTCATCAAGAGCTTTCATTTAAGTACCCACATGCATTTTCATATATTTTTCATATATACATATATATAAATATATGAAATATATGAAAAATTGATGTGGGTACTCAAATGAAAGGTCTCGATGAGTGTAATGTCGAGGTGAGCTTATATCTTTAAAAATGTCAATAGTTCACAAGATAAAAGGTCATTTCTTAATTATGTTAAATTGCACTGTACTTTCTTAACTATTGACGTTTTTAAAGATATAAGCTCATCCCGATGTTACACTCATGAAGAGCTTTCATTTGAGTACATACATGCATTTTCATATATTTTTCATATATACATATATATAATATATATGAAATATATGAAAAATTGATGTGGGTATTCAGATGAAAGGTCTTGATGAGTG